CAAATGAACTATGCAAGAGAGGCTAAGGATCCCCCAATAGCCAGTTACATTGTTACCATTCTCAGTAGGTAGGCCAAATGGAGCCAATTATATTTACCTAGGAGGATGTGGCAAGTCTACACTACCCCCATTGGGACGCATTGGTGGTGAGAGCTATTTGTGGCCCACAAGGGGCTGAAATGCATTCTCGTCGACAGTGGAAGCTCAGTAAATAATTATTTGGCTCTACTCACGACAAGATGTTGGTAGATCACGAGCTTAACCCCATGGCCGAGCCCTTGTATTGGTTCACTGGTAATAGTATCGTCCCGTGGGAAAGATTACTTTGGCAGTTGAAATGGGCACACCCCTACTTACAACTCGCCACTTCATGGAATTTCTAATGGTGGACCATAGGTTTGCTTACCATGGTGTGTTAGGCAGACCTGCTTTGAAGGAGTTGTGGGCTGTTACCTCAATTCACCACTTACGAATGAAGTTTCCTATCAAGCAGGGTACCGTCATGGTACGGGGCAATCAAATGGGATCTAGGAAGTGTTACCTCAATTCTTTGCAAAAAGGTGGAGCCTTGGAGCGTAAACGTGATATTATGGATATCAAAATGTTCGATGCCCTGAAGAAAAGCCTACGCCCGAATGGAAGGAGACATTGAAATGTCAAAGGCCTTTGAAGAAGGGTTCCTCATGACTAGTTGGACCCTTGTAGCATCGTTGAGTTCAAACCACACACGACTCCAATTGAAGAACTAGAAAGTTTCTTTGCCAATCCCTAAGACCTTACCTCTGTCCTATGAGTAGGAAGAGATTTCTCCCATTTGTTTGGAGCTATAAATTTTCCTGCAAAGGAATTTAGACGTCTTCGCATGGAAGTATGAGGACATGGTAGAAATAAACCCAAAGGTTACCTTCCATTATTTAAATGTGAATCCCACGCATGCAGTGCATAGGTAGAATAGACGATCCCTCAATGCGAAAAGGTACGAGGCACTAAAGGAAGAAGATGAAAAGTTGACTTGCAATGGGGCCGTCTATTCAAAGTGGATTTCTAACCCCGTTTTAGTTAAAAAGCCCAATGGCAAGTAGAGAGTGTGTATTGATTTCTCTGATTTAAATCAAGTTTGCCCGAATGATAGCTTTCCGCTTCCAAGAATAGACGGTGGATGCTACGGCAAGATACGAGCTACTGAGTTTCATGGATGCCTACTCAGGCTATAATCAGATACTTATGTTCCAGGTCAACGAATAAGACACCTCGTTTATCACGGATAGGGAAGTTGATGTTTGTCGACCTTATTAGCAAAACCATAGAAGTCGTTGGTAAAGAGCCTCCGAATGATGGATCATGTGAATCACCTGGGGGAACGCTTTTCAAATTTTGAGAAAATTTAGGATGAGGTTTTAATCAGCTAAAATGTGCTTTTGGTGTGGCCTCTGGCAAATTCCTAAGGTACATTGTTAATTAGAGGAGAATTAAGGCGAACCTTGAAAAGATTACGGGCTAAGATAAGGTCTTCTTAGAAACCAAAGGAAATTTAGAGCTCCAATGGGAAAATTGCCATCCTCAATTGCTTTTATCTCTAAAGCCTGCCATTTTTCAAGATTCTTAAATAGGGAAAGAATTTTTAGCGGGCATTAAAATGTGAGAAGGCATTTCAATCTTTGAAGAAACACTTGGGGCAAGCCCCTTGCTATCCAAACCAAAGCCTTATGAGCCTTTACTATTGTACTAAGTTGTTTCAAAAGAGGTTGTCAGCTTGGAAATTGAAAGAGAGGAAGGGACACACTCGTTACGAGTGTATTATATTAGCGAAGCCCTCTACCAGCAAAGGCACATTGTTGAGATATGGAAAAGCTCGTACTCTCTTTCATTACAGTATCGAGGATACTGAGGTCATACTTCTAGGCTCACTCTATTCATAAGTTGACTAATTCTTCCCTAAAGCAAGTACTCTCCAAAACCCAAACACCTCAAGACGATTATTGAAGTGGGCAGTTGAGCTCAATGAGTTCCATTTATCATTTAGAGCTCAGAATGCCATTAGGGGCCAAGCCATTACTGATTTTATGGCAAAATTTGCTATAGCCCCCAAGATAGAGGTAGTTTATGGAGCCATCGAAGTCTCCTACATGAAATCTTTATGTTGATAGTTCCAAAGGAGAAATCTGTTCCAAGGCATGAATTGTTTTAGAAAGTCCAGAGCAGCACAAGCTTAATTGTGTCATAAGATTCGGATTTGAAGACTCAAACAATGCCGCTAAATACGAAGCACCCTTGGCTGTTCTACAGTTGGCTAGGGAGATACACACCAAAAGGTTGCTCGTTAGTAGTGATTCCCAACTGGTAGTAAGTCAAGTCAATGGGAATTTTACTGCTAGAGGTGGCAGCATGACTGCATACCTAGAATTGGTTATGAACTTTCTTCCCGGCTTTGAGAGGTTCGAATTGGTGCAAATTCCACACCTAGAGGACATTCACGCCAATGCAATACCCAAACTAGCCAGTAGTAAAGATTCCGAGCTTCTCAGGATAGTCCTTATCGAGCACCCTTCCAAACCATCGATTTTGAAGGGAGAAGAGGTGATGTGGATCGATGGCACTCTGTCGTGGATGCAACCCATCATATCTTTCCTAAAAGACCATACAATGCCAAATAGTAAAATCAAAGCCTGAAAGCTTCGGAAAAGGGCTGCTCACTTTTTGCTACAATGTGATATTTTGTACAAATGAGGTTTTTCGCCACCTCTCCTCCGATGCACCGAAAGGAAGGAGGCCATCTATATACTAAAAGAGATTCATGAGGAAGTATGTGGCAACCACTCCGAAGGGTCGACAAATTATGAATTTTTCTCCTTTGATAATAATTATTGATAAATATTAGAGTTTAATATGTATATGACAAGTATTTTATACTGGCTGCCTGTATTTTTTTATTTATAGAGGTGAAATTAGGCCAAAATCATGAAGGAAGTTATTTTCATTTAGAATTTGGAATGAAAAATGAAACTAGCGAGACCTAGGTTTTGACTTGGACGGTCTCCTAGTAAGAAACAGGACACTTGCCCTCGCAAGATTTTCAGCTTCTGTTTTTGAACCACAAGTTAGGCGGTCGCCCGGATTTATAATTGGGTAGTCGCCCAATTATAAATCTTTCAAACTTTGTGTTTTGGTTCCCAAATTAGATTCTTAATTTTTTTTAAAGTTTTTTCTCTTGCAATTTCAGTCATTTAACTTCTAATTGCATCAAATTGAACCCGTAACATCTTCAATATTCATTTTATGGTTCGAATCAACTATTGAAATGTTGCAATTTGATCTCCACACTTTGGATTTCACTTCACCAATTTTTGCTTATTTCTTTCAATTCCTCGTTTAACTACCTATATATCCCCTGTTTGATTAACATTAAATTACATTTCATTTTTCTCTCTCCTATTTTCAACCATACAATCTTCTATAAAATAATATTACACGTAAATCGAAAACTTTACTTTCTTTTTCAACCACTCATTTTTCTAAAAAATACTATTCCCCCCATTACCATTTTCAGGTAATGGGGGCCAAACAGGGGCATAACATGAAATACAACAATTTAAAACATAATTTGTCGAAAGAACTTCCAAATATTGCTATTTTAGGCCCCCAACTAAGTGTATAAAATACACTTATCACACGACCTTTGGCTCGGCTCAGCTTGGCTCGTTTACATTCCTTAGGATAATTAGGAATTTTAACATATAATGAAATAGAATATAGAATAGGGTAATTATATTACCGTAATTTTATTTACTTAAATGACATTAAGTAGAATTACTTAATTACCAATAATTTTATATAAACTATTAACATAAACATTTTTATGAAGACACAACAATCACCATCTTTTATCCATGAATCACTTCCCCAAATCAAGTAACGAGAACAGTGGTTCCAGATACAATCATCGAACTTATTTATGCGAAATTAGCAAACATAATTGTTGACCTTAGACATGTTTATAGGATGAAGACGCGTGATGTTCCTTGGAGTCCAAATTCACTACATCAAATTTATCATCAGGCATTGGTTCCAAGAATCTGAGATTGTGGGTTCATCCACATTGAGCCTGTTTAGACCAATGAAGTTGCAGAGGGTGGGAGAAGAGGCTCCAATCAAGTCCAAGATGACAGAAATTATCACTTCACTCATAGATTCCAACAAGAGATTGTTTTTTATTTTTTTGATGAGAAAAATAATGAGTAATATTGGGATAATTAATACACCACAATATTTAATTTCATTTTTAACTTTTATTTAAGAGTATAACTGTAAGTTTGTTGTGGTGTAGGGATAATGAATACACCACAATACTATATAGTGAGGGATGGACGACAGAAAGGAAAGAACAATACATGGGTGTTTGGGCATTATTTATATCATTTTAATTAAGATTATTTTAGTAAATAGAAAAAATGTGGCGATAACGTCCACTTTTTCTCTTTCAGCTTTGTCCTCTCCGCCCCCCCCCCCCCCCCCACACACACACACACACACATGGGGTTCAATATAGTCACCTAAAGAATATAAGTATTTAGAACTTTAAACATTAAGTATATGCTTTTTAATAAAAACTTTAGTTGACCAGGCCTTTTAACCAAATCCCCCAATCTTAAATCTTCAATTTATCAATTTTTATTTTGTCATCACAATCAAGTGGAAGCTCTATTTCCTCGTGCTCAATTTTGCTCGAGTGAATATTGTTATAAGCCTTGTGAAAATCATTGATATTTTTTGCCATCCCGCGGCCACCGTGAAGTACTCGTTCCATTGAAAGATTGTTAGTATATATTATTTAGCTTGCCAAGGTTGAGGCTATGGAGAGCTCATCGCAATCATTCTACATTCTTACTTTTGTTCAAATTCATAGGATAGCCACAGAAAATAAGACCAAATTATTATTATAAAAAACAAAATGATTTTATTTTATCGCCAATTTTACATGGAATAAAATTTTGATATCGGCATTTACGCGAGCAAATTTTGATCCTCAGCTCCATCTCATCACGGCTTCATATGCATTGGAACGTATAAACAGTGACAGAATCAGTGTTTCACATGTAACGAATCCAATTAAAACAAAATGTCTGCATACAACAAACGCAGATAGGTGCAATATTTAGGATTAATGCACTTGATTTTGCTCTCTTTTCCTTTGGAAGAAAAGGGAACCTAACAGAACAGCGATGCCAGTAACTGCAATGGAAAAAAGGAGGCGCCTTGGTGAAAACTCGCGTGGTGGTGGTCTTTCTTGAGCTCCTTCAGGTGGCCTCGTGTTCCTTCATTGATATCAGAAAAACCCATGTCAGACCAAACGAATAAGAAACTAAATATAATTCTGTGTTTGGGGGGGGGGGGGGGGGGGGAGAAAAAAAAAAACAAAAAGAAACAAAAAAAAAAAAAAAAAAAATACAAAAGAATATATTATCACTCTATTGGAGGTAGGTTAGTTTCAGAAGCGAGTGATGCTATCTACACGTGTCCTATCTTTCAGGAAAATGGAAAAAGACATATTCTCGTATCATTTTTGTGTTCTCTTTTTGTATCTGTTCTTTTTAGGTGCTAAACAACCTCCATTGCAATCCCTTTCTGCTAATGTTACCATACGCATCAATAACAAACCCGTACTGTTAGGAAAAAACAAAGATCCCATGTAGAATGAAGTTTTTGGTATCACTATTTTCAGGATTCCCAACATTAGTACTTGAATTCTTTTATTTTATTTTTACACACATGTCCTAGAAAATCAATCATTACACGTCAAATTTCAGGTAAACTCGGTGAAGTGTAGCAAGAATAAATTTCTCATTCCAAAGGAAGATTTATCATAAACATGCCTAACTAAAAATGTCCGATTCTTCATACCTTGAAGATTCTGCAATGTCGTTGACAAGACCATTGCAGTGGCTTTCATGGCCACTCTTCTCACGGAGTCTGATATATTTGAGGCAGAGATGGCATAACTCTGTCCGGTTCCCACATACTTCCTGAATTAATTGAGGACAAACAGATTACATCCCTAATAAAATTTCAATATTCATCATCTTAATATATTACTACCTGATGTTCCAATAAATCAATTGCGGGCAATGGAAATTCACAGTATTCACAAGTCACAATCCTTTGCGGGCAATTTTCTCCTTTATGAAAATTTAAAACATCACGTTCCATAGTTTCACTACACTGGGAACAAGCTACCTGCCCAAGGTATTGAGTTCACTATGAATAGAAATCCAGAATTGAGAAAATGGAAGGAATCCACAACAATGAGACATTAGAATAATGTATTATGTCAAGCATTTCAAATAAGAACAGTGTTTCTATTCAGAACATGATGGTACATCCGAAGCCAAAATTTGCATCTGAACTGAGACATAAATCTTGTACCCGTCATTTAAACTAATTTCCGGAACCAATCAAGATCCCTTCTATACATTAAAAGAAGCCCTCAATAAGCCCTTCTTTAGTAATTTCTTCCAATCTCGTTTCTTATACTTAACCAACTTTTTGTTTTCTATATGAAAGCAAACTGAGAAAAAATACTGTATGTAGAATGATTTCGTGCTAACGTGCTTGCATGTTATTTCTTATAAGAGATTGTGAAATAATAGGAAGGGTATTATTACTTGACACTTAAATCACAATGTTAGTAGTGAATCCTCACATTCATAGTTTACATCAACAGCTAAGTTGACAGACCTGAAAAATAATTACATTCAGATAACAAATATTTTGAAGGATGAAAAAACATTTTAGGAAGTGAGTATTAATTACTAAGCTCGTTAATTAGCCTCCAACGAGATTATACAATTAATTTTCTTGTTCCACACGCTAATGCACAAAGGAAATCTCAGGGACGAAATACCACTAAAATTCAGATGTTTTCTTGTCAGTAATACTCGATTTTCCTATTAGCAAGAAAACTTTAGGCATAAAACCAGAAAGTATGTTCACCATTTAACCATACCACCTATATTCTTTCAATGACACGTGAAAACAAGCAATTACATCCACCGGTTGCTTGAAAGTTCAGATGCATTGAACAAAAAATAAAACTAAAAAGAAACAGAAAAATAAATAAATAAATAAATAAATAATAAAAAAAGAAGAAGAAGAAGAAGAAGAAAAGAAAACTTATGCCCACAATCAAATTTTCACAGGAACAACCAACCTAGATGTTCAAATCGATTAAATACTTCGTTGAGACAGTAAATAGACACTTTCGTGATAGCAACCCATAAGAAAAAACTTTGACACTGCACTAGAATTGAAGAAAAGGCAATTTGAGCAATAAAACCCTTTTTCCTCTAAATCTGAAACTACTCCTTGTGGAAAATCCTAACATATAAATTGGTCAGGGTGTTTTCTAGGACCGGGGGATCATGATCTATGCTTTTTCCTTTAAGCTTTTTTTTTGGATCTTCGCCTTCACTGGAAGTTTAATTTTTCATTTCTGTTTATAGTATTTTAGACATGGATTATCTCCTTTTACAAATGTGTCAAATACTGGATTTTAGAATAGAACAGAAATTTTTTATGTTCCTTTTTACTGAATGGGATGGAGCAATCAGATTCACAGAGGGAAACAGAGTGATGAAGACAGAGAGAATTTTGATAGGATTTTAAAATAGAGTTCAATTCAAATTATGTTAGCTAGATTAGATTAGCTTTAATAATTCGATAAAATTCTAGTTTATTAGATATTCTTTTGTGAATCGGCCTGGGAGAACTGAGTGCGGCACGTGCCTGGAGTCAAGAAGATTTGTTTCGTTGATTTTAGTTTATCTACTCAATAATTCTGATGCCCTCAATTCTTCTTCTTCTTGAACCATTTTTCTTCCTCATCCCTTTTCTCTTGAACCGATCGTTGTCAAATTGTTACATTCCTGTGTTACAAAGTATCTGAAAGATGCGTTGAAAGAAGTTGCTAATTCAAGGTGTTGGCTTGAATTTCAGAAACAAATACAAGAATGTGAAATTTTCAATAATTCTTAGTGTTTACTTGGTAATAGCGTCTCTGAAAGATGCGTTGAAAGAAGTTGCTAATTCAAGGTGTTGGCTTGAATTTCAGAAACAAATACTGTGTAACCTCTAATGTTCTTCTGGTTGAAAGATGTAATAATAAGAGAAAGGAGTTCCTAAAGTTCCAAAGACTTAAGGAGGGGAGACAAGAAAATTTACCATACCAAAATTGAAAATTGCTGGTGGAAGAGAACAATGTGGAAGCAATGTTCAGTGCTAAGGGGAGGATGATTTCTTAAACAAAGGTTGTCAGAAGAATAGAGAAACTACCAGACAGATGGGAGGAAGAGGAAGAGGAAGAAACTACTAGACATGGAATAAAGCAAGGAAGGAGATTGTTTCTGTAGAACGGGGGGTAGCTCTTCTGTTAAAAATAAGGGTGGTAAAAGCAGTGCTGCAACAATAGAAGTCTCATTTTGATGTTGTAGGAGAGTAAAAGGAGATGTATGACAGGAATTTTGTGAGTACCATTTGGAAGACTAGATTTATGGCAGGTTTCTATGCCTTCTGTTGGTAGTTGATGAGGAAAATCTCAAGTATCGGATTATGGAAGCAGTTAATACTATGGTGAGTTAGTTTTTGGTGTCAATAAGAATTAGATAAAAAGATGGGTTTCAGTGGTAGGTTCAGTAACAAACATTGTAGAGTAAGAAAACCATTTTGAATGAATTGGTCAGTTTAGCATTAACTTGCAGAAGTTTTGTTGTTCCGGGGGCGAATTCATTGCACTAACGAGCATATCAGAAATGTTTCGTGGTAGCTCATTGAGTGATTTAAATACAAGAATGTGAAATTTTTGATGCATTTATTATAGAAGTAGAATTAATGGACCCATGGATGAAGAAGTTTCTAGTCTATGATATAAAGAATATATACTAAAGAGCATGATTTTAAGTATTGTCATCCACTTGAAGAAGTGAATATCAGTGAAGTCGGATCGAGTAGCATCAGCTCCCACCACCATCAAAAACTTTATTGCCCCCACAAGCTCAGTGTTGCTGAACAGTGAACACAACATTACCTTTTATTAGTTCTGTACTTAGAACTGCCTTCTAGCACTGATAAGGTGTTAGATGCATGCATGACACAAGCATTTTTCTGTAATTTTTGAAGCTCCAAGCTTGGCCTTGCGAATTTATTTTATGATTCAGGTATGACTTGGCTAAATATCTGCGCAATATAGCAGGATTTAAACTTGAATTCATGACTCCAGCTCCAACTAAAAGAAAAAGAAGAGGCACTAGGATTAACCAAAGGTTTCAATATGCGGTTTCAGAAGAAAACCACATTTGAGAATTCTACTCTTTCTTGAAGCATAGAATCTTCTTCTTGAACGGAATTTGTAATTGGTATAACTTTTGGGAGTTCAATGCGAAAAATGGTTCAACATTTAAAGTTCAAAAGGAAAAAAGTAGACTCTTAAAAGTTTAATAGCCAAAAAAATTTTTTACCCACCACATGCACATAGATAGTTGAACGTATAAGCCACATTTATTGAGATGAAGGCACTAATAAAGATAAATTATAATCAATGCAGAAGTAAGAACATATCGACCCTGCAAGCGATTGAAGACTATGCTGGCAACATAAGACAACTCAAGAAATTTTACTCCATTACTCAAGTAAGAACTCATCCATACAAAAGTTGGAAAATAAAACAAGTTTTAGGAAAGTTATAATTAATTCCAGAGGAAAAACTATAGAATAGAATTTCACCAGGTAAGATGGCTTACCGGAGCATGAGTGCTCAGAAAATGTTCCTCCGCAAATTTTTTTGGAACCATATCACCACATAATCTACATTTTTCTAGATTCCGGGAGCAGTGTGCAAAATGCAAATCAATATTTGAAGAAGGAATTGCTCTCTCGCTGAAAAATAATATTCTTCAAATAAATTAGCAACAGTTTCAGATAATCAATCTCTTAATTTCAGAATCTTCTCCAAAATCATCATTCTTTTCTCTTAATTGGTATTTATATAACAACAATTTTCAAACTCAATTATGCAGAAAAACAGTTCATTTGTACAATAAGCATTAAAGGAGTAACAACAAAACAGATCATCAGTACAAGAAAAGAAATATATCAGCGAAGCAACCAACAAAGGTTTATCAAAGACATCAATGGAATTAGCGTATAGAAACAGTGTGTTAGTTGAGTACTTAGTGAAATGTGAAATTCAATCCAAAAATTCTAGAATAGTCCTGAAATTCTTATAAATATGGTTGTAAAAAAAATTTTATATCTGAGGCACAGATAAAAGAACAAAATTTCACAAGAACTGAAGTTCCACATAGGCAAGTTGCGAACTGGCCCTAGATTTGAGGCCTAAGGCCTCTAAGAGTGATTATTAGAGTCCCTTTTCTTGCATATGTAATTTTTCATTTTTAACTAATTTATCTATTTCTGTGGCCTACATCTATCCTAATTCTCACCATTAGCCTATGTTTTAAGAGCTTCCACATCTAGTACTACATCACCAGTGATCATGCTGAATAATTAAAGGGTCCATTGACAGCCTCTAAATTAGCTCAATGAATCCCCAATGCCACCCCCGGCCCTCTTCTTCAAGGAAATTGCAAATTGCTCTTTGCACAATGACCTTAAACAGAATAACTGACCTCAAACTGACTATCAGTTACTCTAGACCACCTCTAGAATTCAAAAAATTAAAAAAAGATCCATAATTACTTGAATGCACCAGATCCAACCGAGCCCAATCAACCATAATATACTGCTTAAAATTAATTGTAATTAACTAGTAAAGGTAAAGCCCCATTTGGCACAACAATCAAAGATGAGAGAACTCACTGTTCCTTATCAAACATAAATGGTTATTAAGCATAAAGAAGTTACTAGTTGACTACTTTGTGAAACAATCAAACTAAATTATGTAATTCAGGTATGACTTCTACCAATTTCACCAACTCATCTTGCTAATCACTTTTTCCAACAACCGATCCTAGAGCCGAGTTTCTAAGAATGTGACCAAATTTAAATCAGGAAATGTTATAAATCACGAACATGTGCATCACATGCTATAAACAAGAAGAATTATGCATGAGCAATTTGAGTTTTCGAGAAACAAATGCCGTATTACGCTTCCATAACCGTACTAAGATCAGTTAACCTGGCAGGATTGTTATTTAATTAATTAGAAACCAATAAAAAGATTTTCCAATAACAAAAAATTACAAGTGAAAGATTAACCGAAACCAAAATAAATAAATAAAGAGGGAAAAATGACAGAAAAATCGTACCAGTGGCTGCAGACCTGATGATCATCAGAAGCTTCCGCCATTTTTACCTCACTTCAAACCCTTTCCGAAATACAAAATTGTAATGAAAAAATCAAAGAAAAAAGTTAGGTAAACTAATTGGGAAAATTACAATTCAAGATTCTGAAAAATTTATACAAAGAATAATATTCTAATTCCAGGTTTGATTACGGTTCCGTACGAGGTCCACCGAAACGATTTCGTTTTAACTTTGGTAAATGACTGCAAAATGAACAGCGTGTACAAACGCTAAATTTAGGGCTGTATTCAATCCAATGATTTGACGTATGAGATGAAAAAAAGAAAAAAAAATTAATACATTAGTATATCAAATCATAAATCGTCAAATAGAATGTATCACTTAGGATAACTATCACAATGAGCGAAGTGGATCATTTAATGTTACATTAGCGCAATTGTTACTCCAGTGGATGTATTAGTAGATTTTATATATTTGTATGAAATAATGGAAATTTTTTTTTCATATTAAAATTTTCATAAAATTTATTTTACCAAGAACTTCATTTAAGGTCCGTTTGATTGCAAAGATAGAATTGAATTGCCTAGAAAACGAATTTTAGGGAATTGAATTGCCTAAAATTGTTTTCCTGGGAAATGTAAATTATTGTGTTTGATTGGTTTAATTTTTCACGTGAAAAATGTTAAAATAAAAGTATTTTTTGATGTCCGTTTGACTTTGTTTTACATGAAAATTGTCAATTAAATGGATGAAATTTACTGGTATTGAAAATGAAATTTGTTTCCATTGCCAAAACAAAAAAAAATTTCAAGAAAATCATCTATCTTTGAGTGTTTGTTTGGCTTTGTTTTACATAGAAATTGTCAATTAAATGAAAATATTTTTTTATAATAATTCTTAGAATTTGTTTCTATTACCAACAAAAATAATCCAAAAAAAATAAAAAAAACTTGCTACAGTGCCTGGAATTCCAATTCTCACCATAAATGGTGAGAATTGGAGGTGAGAATTGGAATTCCATAAAAATCAAGAATTGCACAACTTTTAACAAAAGCAAGAACTGATTTCCATGGAATTTAAAATGCTATCAAACAACAAAAAAAGGGAAAAGAAGGAATTGAAGTTCCATGCTATCAAACAGGCCCTTAAAGTAGAATTAACTTGAATTTAGCACAACGATGAGAAATTCACACATACGAGGCAGAGGTTCGACTCCCCTTTCCCTCCTCTAACTAATAAAAGATTAAGTTACCTTAATTAAATAAATAATCAACATACAAAAAATACATATTATATTTCATTATTTTTTCATAAAAGAAATATAATGCTCACTATTATCATTACGTTTTGCCTCCAAAAGTGAATAACTAATACCTTGAGCCCCATTTTGGAAAAGAATAAATAAATTTTGGAATAGTGTATTGATGAAAAATGTGTGGTTAAAAAATAAGAAAAAATTTTGAATTTGCGTGTAATATTATTTTATTGAAAATGTGTGGTTAAAATGATGTTAAAACACTGTTTAAAAATGTATTTTTGTGGAATGAATGGGGCTCAAACAGGGGCTAAACAATATTATTGAAGGAAGAGTCACGCCCCAACCCCTTTTAAGACTATATACATCTCCTACCAACATGTTTAGCCTTCCAAGTTATCCACATTTAACCATCAATTGAAAGAGAAAGAAAAAAGGAACAGAGAGAAGCAGAAACAAAGAGCTAAAACTGAATTTCTGGATACTTACGTTTAGCTCACGGTTTTTAAGGTTGTTTTCATTATCTTTGAGAGTATTATAATCTCTTGAGCCACTAAAATTACCTGATATTTTGTTGGGATTGGTGTTTGTGACATTATTATGGCAAAAAAGAGTGACAATTGTTGGAGATGTATTGAGGAAAACAAGTAAGGATAGAAATTGCATAGTTGCTGAATCCTACCTATTCAACCCTTGATTTTGGATGATAGTATGAGAATAACTTATATCTATCAATATGGATGTTTTTATATGCAAGCAGAAGTATAGAAATGATTTTTAATGGCCGAGAATTCTGTTGGTGGCATACTAATACAATGAAAAATCGAAAAACTATCACAATGAAAACTGCTTGATTTGGTGTTGTGGAAAATGGACTATTCTTTAGATTGAAAACCCTTCACTTACCAGAACTTTATGACATAATTACCTTCACATGCATGTTATAGAAGTGTGGTAAAATTTTGGATTCACTGGATATGGTTAAGGGAGTGAAAAAGAATTGGAAAAATAGTTGGACGGTGAGGGAAACCTAAAAAACAGATTCTGTCCATTTACATGTTTGATGTAGTTTCAACTTTTACATGTCCATTAATTACCTCTTGGGCCTAGAAAATAGATTCTAAAGAGTATAGGTTGTTGAAAACAATTGGATGACATTGACGTTCATAATTGGACTCGAGAAATAACGAGATTTATGAGGCTAGTTTGTAATGACATCAGTAACTTGAAATGATAATTTCGTCTAAATTATTTTGGCGTGAATGAACGTATTTTGGGATATTGTGTGTTAAGATTATTAAATTGAGGATTGTCTTTAATATTTGATGGTAATACAAGTGATTTCTAGAATTTGAGCAAAAAAAATTGATATACACTCCGTATGAGCTTGCACACTTATTGAAAGGTAAGTAAAAATCAATTTGTAACTACGATGCAGGAACCTAGTATTTGTGGTAAAGTAATATTGAAATATTTACATAACTTTGATTAGAGGCTCATTGCACATCATATGATGGTTATAATCATTAAGTATGTGGTTGTGAAACCCATTGACATCGATTTTTATTAAGTATGTCATTTATCAGCAGTTTCATCGGTATGTACGACATATGATCATGGTTGAAAACTTTACATGTGAAACATGATTTCAAATTGAGTTTTCCTTATAAATGTTTTATTGACCACTACTATGGCACCGAGGCACGTGAGGCATCGTTGGTGATACTTCTTGGGTGATTGTAAAAGTAGACAGAGGATGGGCCTTGGGTGATCACGGGAGGGTGGACCACTCGACTATGCCCTTGTGATATTATGATTATTGGTGCTACCAGGTGGGATTCATCTTGGGTGATCATAGAGATAGATAGGGAATAGGCCTCTAGTAGTCACGAGAGGATAATCCACTAATCGGTGTCGATCTCATATTGACCATTTGACTATTGATTATTGATATTGATTTATGCAGAACTCTATCTTGTGTATAGTTAGTGGGTCAAGGGTCCAATGAAATGAAAGATCCTAAATGAAATGATTTCAAGCCGACTTTGATGAATATTGGAATATGATGTATCTTTAGCATAATGTTTAAAATGAATGACATGGTGTCATATATCATTGTTACTCATACTCATGACATGCATGATTTTGCTTACTAAGCATTAGCTTATGTAGTTTTTGCATTGTAGGTGAGCATGGAACTTCATAGAGGTCAACGCTAGCTGTAAAGCTCTTATGGTCTGTAGGGTTATCTTGTGGGCTGTTGTTTTGATCTTATAATCTATTGTATTATATGTGAAAAATCTTGTACTGTATATATGACTTTTGAAATGGCATGGTAGATACTTCTGGAATCCCTAAAATAAATATGTTGGAATTTGATTATAGAGTATTTGGTCATAACATACCATATGTGCATCATAGGTGACCATGCGAGAATATATAGGGACCTTATTGTAAAGATGCTTATTTCATTTTCTCTTAAAAAATGTGTGAAATTCTGTGTCTAGGTTAAGTCATCAATATCATTTCTACACGGGTAATGTATAGTTATCTGTATATTTGGGTTGTGACACATCACCACCGTTTTTTCCCATTTTATATGACTACTCTTCTATATCTTCTCTCAAATCAAGTTAGTGTGTAATTATTCTTCTATTTCGAACCCTACCACCTTTAACACCCCCGTCGTGAACAACCCGCTACGTAAACAAACATCATCGCAAACAGCTTTAAGGAACCAATTTCTCAGTTGTCTATCCTCATGTATAAGGTTGATTACGCCCAAAGAATAATGCAGTAGTTGCAGTATAGCTTTGGAATGTCGTATTAACAAGGAGATGGGAAAATAGTTCAGAGGATCAAAAGCTAAGGTTTTCGTTGTGACCTTGAAAACGTAGTTTACCAAATTGAAATGAGATTTAAATATCAATGTGTGAAATAGTGAAGCGCTGGAATTCACTCTCTCGGATTGGATCAATCACATCAATCATTCATACATTTTACTCAACTAGAAGTTCTCATCCCAACTCTCTAGTCGGAGGATTTAACAATAATGATCAATTAATTTTCAATTGTAATTCTATACTCTAGACTTTCTATACCATATTTCCACACTTGTTTATTGGACTAAGATTAAGAATCGACCCTATACGTAAATCATAAAGCAGTAAATAATCCACCATCAACATTATATGAAATTGAAATTCAACACCTAGTTTAATTCCACAATAGAAGTAACATCATTAAATCTATGAGAAATCTTGTAAAGGTTAAACCAAATTCATAAATAAAATCATGAAAAGAAAGTCTAAACTAGAATTATTTGACATTAAAGCACTAAATTACATGAATGAAAGATATGAAATCACCAAATCCGATGAGTTTATCCCTTGCTTCACCAAAGATTTCTAGCCTTCCATGGAGTTTCTTCACCCAAGACGAGAGAAAATTGATGTGTTAGGGCTTAAAATCGTATGAAAACTGCGTTTTCAAATAATCATATGAATGCAATAACTAAGAGGGAAAAATATCATATTTTACGCTCTTATCACACCCCCACAACTTGCTTATTGCTAGTCCCTAGCAATTCATTACAAAACAATATAAATGAATGATTGATTTACGTTGCAACTCAAATAAAAAGTTCCAATTTAGCTACAGTTCATACTCTTTTCAAACTCAACACCACAAGAACTTAACAATGCCATGATCATCAAGATATCAAAAACACTTGCCAAGTGTGCGAGTGTGTGTCAACCCTAACACATGTAGTATCAAGTATGCCTCAAACCAAAGGTTCAGCCCCATAACTTACGGGTATCAAAGTATTTAGTGCGGCTTTCTCTCTATTAAGCTGAGAAATGGTATGGACTCGGAATTCGGAGGCTTAAATGTTTATGAATGAACAACAAGCGAACATTGATCTTATTATAGGCATACTGTCAAATGAGAATTCTCACAATCATACTTAGGATCAAAACAGTCAATGTAAAAGGTTTGTAATGCGG